TTCCCTTTTCCCTCACTTTGGCAATTCTCCCCCCCTCTTCTCTAATCAAGGGGGGCAACACATTTTCAAAACTATGTTGTGGATTTCTATGGGCGACGGTACTACCTCCATCAAGTAGACCATCTGCTCGATTGCCCCTTTTTGCACAAAAAAAAATGTACTAAATACATTGCAAAGGAAGAGAACCTGCATAATTATATGTACGTAATACAATTTGTATATATAGCATTCCTTCAAATCAAACAATGCAAGGATTCTGCGCAGCCAATTTAGTTACGGTTTTTCTGTAATATCATTTGAAGGAAGAATGTCGGAATGTTTTTGTATAATAACATGTCAAGTTACTAAGTATATTTGAAATTCATATTTGATATCGATTCATTTACGAATTCATATTATATTAAACAAAAAACATGTTTGAAAATAAAAAAAAGTACATATCTGGTTTAAATAAAAACAACTAATAATAATTAATTATAATGAAGACGGTTAACCTAGACACATAATAATTAGTACCATAACAAATAATTAATTAACTAAGTATATATTACTTTAGTCAGTGGTGGCTCAGTGGTTAAAGGGCCCGCCTCTCGGCCTCTCGTCGCCGAGGGCGCGGGTTCGATCCTGGCCCGGGCAAGTACCAATGTGATTTTTCCGAATCATATGTACTTTCTAAAAAGTATTTAGACATCACTGATTAATGTTGATTCCCAAAAGAGGGTTGATGTCAGGCAGGCGGCCGGTCGTAAAAACAAATAGCCAAAAAACTATTCACAAAATGTAAGGCAGACCCTGGCTATAGCTGGGAAATTGCCAGGTTTAGGCAGACCCTGGCTAGAGCTGGGAAATTGCCAGGAAGAAGAAGAAGAAGATATTACTTTACTTTTCGGAGTTGGAACCACTGATATATATCAAGTAATATAAAATATATATCAAGGTTGGAGTTAAATATTATGCATATCATTAATTCTATAAAGATTCGAGAGGTACCTGATTCCTGAACATAATTTTCTTTGAATATTTTGCTATAAAATAATATACGTCATAAATTTCTCTTTTTACACTTTGAAATGTAATTAAAAGGCAGTCTTGTATTATTATTATTTTTTATATTATATGACTGGAATATTTTTTTCTCATAAATAAATAACCGTGACAGTAATGACTACATGAATTAAATGTTAATGATGAAGCTGTCATCAAGTTACAAACATGATTAACAGTCACTTATCATAGTCAATTAGGTAGGTGTTAGAAAATCTGAAATAAATATAACTTCACATACCTATATGTGTATTTATATTTTATGATCTATCAGCTAATTAAACAATTTATCGACTTTAATAATCCTTTTTGCAGGCTACAGGGTTTGTTATTGAATTGAACCAATATTCATTTAATAAATCTAAGATTTTCCCGAGTACTCGTTTAAATTAAACTATTCTGTTTTTTGACCTTAGTTTCATTTTATTATTAATTATATTAAGATCGGAAGAAATCGCTAGAAAAGATCATTTCCTCAAAAACTTTGACATTGTAGTTTTATATTAATACTTCGAATAATGTTTCTGTTTTAGGAGATAAGAGGCTTTTGGTGACTTACACCTAGTTTTTTTTATATAATTTTAATTACCTACTTTCAGCATTGGCTCGATTATAAGAATTTAAATTTGGCGAGCAATGAATTAATATACCTATATTTTTTATATATTGAATGAATTACATTAATTGAACATTTTATGTATAACCAAAAATACCAGAAACATCCTGCTCAAGTAAAAAATTATAATTAAAAAAAATTTCAAAGTTTTGACGTTTTTAACTTAAAATTCGTCGGAATTTACGTATTCGCAGGTTTTAATTAATTTCACGGGCCATTAATCAGTGTGTGTGTGCACTTAAAGTCTTGGAGTAAGAACGACGAATGACGAACGATGAGAGCATTGAACGAGACAAGCCTGAGACTTGACATAATAATGATGAAATCTTCAATAAGTTATCATTTCAATAAAATATGAATATAAAAAGAGAGCTTTTAATTAATTTAGTTTTTATTGTTTTTCCTAATTCGCAAATTACGCATGTTATGTTCTATATATACGAAGTAAAACAAAATTTTACGACAAACGAGAAGGACGCTGGATCGGTTCTTGATGTGTAAAGTATTTTTCTTTTCTTTCCCTTATTTGCGAAGAAAAAAAAAATGTAATAGACATTTCGTGACGGCATTTTAATGGCTTGTGCGTCAAATATTTAAGTTTATCCATGAAAATACCCAAAATATCGTAAAGTTTTATTAGAATATTTGTTTACGATAAACTCAGATTCATCTATTGTGATATACAAAAGTATGATCACGAGGCCACTATATTTAAATGATTTTAATACCTTCCAAACTAAACCAAAAATTGATTAACCGAGAAGCAAAGATTGTAGAAAAATGGTAGGCGATTAAATTTAAGAATTATAAAAATGTTGTACCTACGAAAGAACTAAAAAACGAATACAAGCTTTTAATTTTTTTAACAAGTTTATAATCCAAACTTATCGGTACCTAAAGTTATTTATATGTATAACATTTGCCAAAATAACAATTAAATAATTATTATGAAACATTGTCTTCAACATCATAACAATGTCATAACGGCCATGTTTATATATACTATATAGATATTTTTTGGTCGATCCACGCTTAAGTTTTGCCCAAAATGACCGTGTCCAAATTGATAAACGAATTCCCCGCGTTAATTTGTTATTTGACAACAACAGCTTATAAATTTTATAATTATCATTGATTAATTAAATTTTAATAGTTGCGTATAACTCAAAGTAATTTTTTTGTAGGTAATATTGATAAAACTGATTTAGAGTCTTCGTATGGGATAACAAATATATTAAACTGTGAGGTTTTTTACAATATGTATTGGTGTCGTTGAAACGAACAGTTAAAAATAAAAATGATTTAAAAAGTAATAAAATTATGCTAATATGTCCTGTTGGATATTATAATCATTCAATCTAAGTGTTAATTAATGACATAATTTAACGTTTTGGTAGCTCCAGATTTAATTGTAAAGCTGTCGTAGTAAAAATTGAGGTGTTCTTCATGGTCTTATATGTCCTTGCCGTTGTTGACAGCAGTGGCCTATACAGAATCAATTTGACTGATTTGATGCGGTCATATAATATTTGAATGCATTACGTGTTTATTTCTTTTTTTTTGTAAATTAATTATTATTATAGTGGCATCTACTTTTAAAATATATATCTACTTTTAAAATCTTTTAAATGTATTAAATATACCTACTGTTAAGTATATTTCTTGTTATTTGGAACACAACCATAGTTAGTACATTGCTATGTATACTATGTAATGCCTTAAACATACTTTATGTACTATTGAGTGATACATTTTTTGTATAAATTATCCATATGTAGTATGATGTGAGTAATGTACTCAATGAACCGAACACACTTGTTACAGTTCAATCTTAGTAATACATTCAAACACCTGGATCTTGTCAAGACTAAGTCAAGGCTTATGTGATCAGCTTTTACTGGCTTAATAATAGTTATTAGGTTTAGTTAGGTTTTTTAATAAGAATTCTGATATCTCAAGTATATTAAATGCTTCTACTTAAGGAAGTTTATCTGGGGAAAAAAGTACTAATGAACGTTCGAGAACGTACCGTTTCTGATGTTTCATGGTTTTCAGAAGAACTTCTCTTTATAGTAACTTCAGTTCTTACGAAAGGATAGGATAGGAGACAGAAATCGTTTGTATTTCTTATTTGTTTCAGCGTCTTGTTCAGCAGGACGGTATTATAATACACTTGTCATACATCTGTGTTTAAAATCTCTTTCATGTTCAAGTTATGTTTGTGCCTAATCTATTTTTGCTGATGTTGCACTCTTTTCGTCATAGATGAGGGGTAACCTGATTAAAAGAGTTCTTCAGATCTCTTATGTTTTGGCAACTGAGACAAATTTTAAAGCTACGTATCAATAACAATGGACAGAAAGGATCGTAATTTCGACTATTCCAAATAGTATTCCAACGTTTTCTTCAAAATAAAAAATAAAACTAAACGTACATGTAAAGAAGTGAACTAAGTATGGAATTTATAACTGTTAATTTCTGTGACGAACCTGGAGTGATTACCATTGAATAACCTACAAAGATAGCAGTATCTCACGGATAGAAAATTCTTAAAATTATTACAGTTGTACAGTTGTTGGCTCCTGGAACCGATGATAACATTTAAATTATATAAGAAATCAGTACAATTATTACAGAAATATAAAACAATAAAGATTTGGATACTAGATATTTCTCTTAAAATGACGTTATTTAGAATTAAAGTTTCTGAAACTACATAGGTACATGTTGTTTTCGTTGCGGTAAATTAATTACGTTTAGTTTTTGTGAACCCGGACGAGAAGTCGAGATGAACTCAACACAACATATTAATGTTATAATTGATGATATTAACAGTTCTAGTTTGTTGACTTGATTCATGGAGCCTTCATATAGGGGTGTACACGCTGACTCTGGCAAGTTGACGCTCAATACTCACGTTATTGTCATCTCTCTGTACTATACTTTGTTTTTATTGAGTTTTGTTGTGTTTGTGAATTATGGATGGACTCAAAAGGTTTGTGACATTCATGTGTCTATTGAATTTTGTGAATTATTTCTACTTTACTTAACAATATGAAGTTATCAAGCTTTTTGTTTCAATTTCATAGCTCTGTTGTAATAAACTATTTTTTTTACTTTAGTCTAACTTATTTTTTTTTGTAATTGATTAAACAGTTTCATTAGTTTCTATGTTAAATTTAGTTCTAAATTTTTATTTTAAAACATGTCTTTTCAAGATATTATAAAAGTTTACATACATTTATTTCTTAATAATATTTTTAGTACGTTTAATGTATCGTATTTTCTTGATGTTATACAGTGTGTTTTATAACTTAATCCATAAATTCATACATTAACTATGAAAGCTGAGCATCTCGTAGTGTCTAGGTCAACGACCAAATCTCTGTTACGAAGGTCTGTAATGTACAATTGTTATTAATATTGAAATACATATAGCAAAATAATTGTTTTGCTGATGAAATAATAGTAAAAGAATTTATATTGTTGTCAACACCAAGTAACTTGGAAGAAAATTATAAATTGATTAGTAATTTATTATATCAAAATGATTTAACTTTAGTAAAATTTGTCAAGTATACTAAATAAATATTGTGTATCTAAACGACATGATTACATTGAAATAATTTACTTCATCCGTTTTTAGTAGTAGGATAATTATTTGATCTCGGTCACAAGAAACCTTTAGAAAGATCAGCTTTGATATGGTCAAGGAAAAATTAAAAATATATAATGCACAGATGTGATAACTCTGTATTGACTTTGCAGTGATATTGAATTATACAAATATTGTACAAAAGCAGCTTAGACAATAACAGCTTTGGATGCTACAAGTAAGAACAATATTAAAATGAAGATAATACCAGTTATATCTTTTGCGTTAATAGAATTAGAAAACAAACAACTTATAACTAAGGCCTAATTTCAACATCCTGTTTCATAGAGAATAGTTATAATATCCTCAAAAAAGAATATTTTTATCATCCACAACTGGTTTATAAGAAAATCTATATTATCTTTGTTTTTATACAAAGAAAGGAATGTATTTGTGTACCTTTTTCATATAAAACACCTGATGCATTCGGTCTCCTGAGGTAAACACAGGATGTTCTTATACATATAATTATTATGATCAGTTTCTTCCGCATTTACAACTAATGTGTTGTTAAGTACATTCTATATATCTTTTAAAGTCTCACATAATAAGTAACAAGATTAAGATATTAATAAATAACTTCATTATTAAGCATTAACATATATAAACCTCGAGTAAAGTGATTTCAATACATGGACAGATAATGAACATTTTAAAGGAGAGTTGACGTAAGATAAACAATATGTGACAAAACATGTTACCTGAGCGATATAATTACTAAAAAGAAGTTACTTAATTTACTGTGATATAAAAATGTTTAATTTATACTGAAAATTCTAATATAATGAATAGTTGAGAATGTATAAAGATAGTATTTGATTTTGAACACAAAAAACTGTACTACGGTAAGAAGCTAGGGTAGATTTTTCTTAATCGACACATTTGAAATATATCTGTATATTCATTTTGTATACTAACATACAAAAACTGTATTTAGGTAAAAATGGGAGCAATAAATATTAGGTTAACAAATAAAATGAAATAATTTATTTGTAGTAAACAGTATTTAAATTGTGACAGTTGTTTCTTTAGTTTTGAAGTATTAAACTTATCAGTCACTTTCCAAACATGGTGAGTTGTAGCAATTACAAATCATTATTCAATGATAATTATAGTAGGAGTATGACATTCCCTCACTACATATATTATGTCGGAATTTTTAATTGTTTACCTTATTTATAAACTTACGATTTAATTAATGTTTACCCGAGTGGAAAAGTATTGAGATGCTAGGTATATAAGGTTTGGTTAATGCCAGCCAGGGATTTCTGGAAGACTATGAAACTACGTAGACATCCATATACATATTACGGTTTAAAATATTATAACAAAAATAACATTTCTGAAAGTGATGACCTGTACGTAAGACTTAATGAAACTCGTGTTAGTACAGCATGACATATTTCCTTTGTGGTACCGGGGTCCTTTTGGTTGACATGGCCAGATGTTCATTCCTCGGAATTAGTAACATCACTCGTTGTATGTTTTTCCTTCCATACAGTGGTTTTGCTTTGGCGATGTCCATTAGAATTTTTCATTTCTCTTTAACCTACGTAACACATAGCTTGTTAGAGAAAATTAAAAATAAAGTAGTAACAAAACATCGACTGCAGTGTACTTTTGTGTATATTGCTCGCTAAATCATCCTCTTTTTCCACATTTTGAAATAATCCGTTCTAATAAAGTATTATATTTACCTTTAAATATGTCGTTTGTTACAGGAGACTGAGGATCCAGAAGTTGTATCACTGGTTCACACACAGCGCTAATGAACAAGATCTTAAACCAAGGCAGGTGCTGAGATGGGATCTGGTGTTTTGTGGTGAGAGTCTCAATATCATTAACCTATTACAAAAATAAGGTTTTAGATGACAAGTCTTATTATCGTCTCCAACTTATTCAGTCCCCCTCATTTTTTCAATCTTTCTCTTAACAGTAAAAACACTATGCCATATTTTGTACAAAATTTAAGAACTGTGACTGCCAAATATATACAATATTTTAAATACATTTTGTTACCATGATAATTCGCCCTATTTTTACCAACCCCAAGCTATTAACTTCTCTTGAGGGTTGTCAACACTTTACAGCATAAATTCCGGTAAATTTAAATTTCGTATTAATTTCGCGTCCACTTTCTGAAATGAAGTTATTGTACTTGACATTTCAATTTCTATTATGTAAAGAACAGGAGTGTTTCACTCATTTCTTAAGGTATTGTATGTTTTGTCCCCAAAATGATCTAGAAACGAGAGAGCCATCTCCGTGATAATTTATTATCGCCGAGTTTATTTCATTTTCTTTCTTTTGTCAGTTCCACGTTAACTTACAACTCGACAAAAGACCTCAATTTAAATTCCGTCATACTTTAAAATATAATACTTGTAATAAGGATTTCTTATGGCCGAAAATAAAAGTAATTTTAAAGATAACTGCTGTGACTTTGTGTTTGTTTTCGGACCTATTTATGAGATATATCTCTATCAGAGTTAAAATGACTGTTAGCTTTTTAAAGAAAATTTAGGGAAACAAGAAAGATTTTGGATTATTTAAGTAATTAAAAGTAAGTAATCTAATTTAGTGAACTTACATATGTTACTGATGTATATCATAAACCGCACCATATCTTTATGCGAAAAGTTATAATTAAACATCATTTCTATAAGTCCGGAAGCTTTTGGAAGGCTATAATATGTATAAAAAGTTTTATGCTCCTCAAGAGGACTACCTTTTATTATAACAATTTTACGCTTCAGTCAACATAAAATCTTGCAATTTTTTTCGGTCAGCAAATCAAATTGAACATCGTGTGTCATCCAGTGAGGACTTTATTATTATTATTATATTTTTATTCAAATACCAACCTTTTAACAAGAGACTTGTTAAAATCAAGTATTGCTGTGAGTTTCGATATGATTTTTAATAAATGGTGCAGAAAATGCAATAGAACTCTTATCTAAAGTAAATTAATTAAACAAGTACAAAATAACGTTAACTTATTATAGTGTGACATGAGCGTTATTAATCAATAAACTTTTCGAATAAAATAAATGATTACTTAATAAAGAACTTCTATCAAAATTGATAGACTTTAATTATTTGTGTTTTATTTTTAATTGGTAAATGTCGAACAAAAATTTATGTTTAAGAACAAGCACAAACAAACAATTACTTATTAGATTTTCTGTTGTCTGTCATAACAGAATTTAAAATATGTAGAAGCTCGTGGTCGTGCCAATAATGTATTTGAATTATGTTAATGTAAATGATTAACTATTTAGATCTTTAAAGGATAAAAGGACTTTGGTGATCATAGTTACTAGTCATCGAAATGTTTCTATATACCAGATCATATAATACAATGTGCATAGAAAAAATCCAAGTAAAAAAACCGGTTGGGTCATTAACAAATGAGGTGTTGACGACGGAAAACGTAATCTTCCTAGAAAAAATAGACTCGTTTACGCAACAGCAGATATAAGATATATCCCTACTGCTGCCTTTATCATGCTTACTGCCTTATAATGATTGTTTTTCTATAATTCGTCATTATTATTGTTTCAGTGGCATCACTTCTGTTGGGAGTATGGATTAGTAGCTGTATACAGAGTCTCACTGATTCGTTCAGCAGTTCCTTTCCCTTTTGGGATGATATTCATGGCAAGTTACTGCATTTCAGACAATATAAATATGTGAAAAGAGTAAGAAGGAGTTTCTTATTTATTTAATCCCTTGAATAGATGGTGACGAGTTTGACTACGTGGTGATAGGCGCCGGTGCAGCGGGGAGTGCGGTGGCAGCGAGACTAGCGCTGGCTGGACATAGCGTGCTGTTGGTTGAAGCAGGCGGAGATCCCAACATCCTCACAAGAGTACGGCGATAATAGTACTTATGCTTGTTTGGCCTTCATGACTTTTGAGAAAAAGTATAACAAATGTTTTATTTTTTAGATACCTGGAGCAACTTTGGCTTTGACTGGTTCAAATCTGGATTGGTACTATGATACGATACCCAATAATAAGTCGTGTCTCTCTTCTATAGGAGGGAAATGTCGTTTAAGTCGAGGTCGATGTCTAGGAGGATCGACTAGCCTTAACTACATGATGTACACTCGAGGAAACAGGCAGGACTACGACTTTAATGTCACCGGCTGGGACTGGGAAGACATTAAACCGTATTTTCTTCGATTTGAAGGGCTACAGGAACCTTATAGACTTCCAAAATCGTCTGGAGCGTATCATAATACTTCTGGTATAACGCCAATAGGATACTTTGGTGATTCCGGTAATCCGTGGCACCAAAGGATTGTCGATGGCTTGACTTCCTTAAACTTTCCATACAATCCAGATGTAAATTCCAAGTCTCAGATAGGTGTTTCTAAAATTCTTGGTTTTACTTCCGGAGGAGAACGAGTGAGCACTGCAACTGCCTATTTAGGTACAAAAAATGTGAAAGAATCATTAAAGATTGTTAAAAATACAAAGTGTACAGGAGTAATTATTGATACTGAAAATATTGCTAGAGGGGTAACTCTAGCGAGAGGTTTTAATGATACTATAAATATATTTACTAGAAAAGAAGTAATTTTAAGTGCTGGAGCCTTTAATACTCCTCAATTACTAATGCTGTCGGGAATTGGGCCAAAAGAACATTTAGAAGAGTTTAATATTCCTGTCAAAGCAAATTTACCCGTAGGTGAAGGAATGTCTGACCATGTTTTGCCTATAATAAACATAAAAGTCGATCATGATTCTATACCATCATCAAATATTGTATCTATTGGATCCAGGCTCTGGCAGGGTCTTAGTTGGCTACTAATGCGTAGTGGCCCATTAGCGTCAAATAGTATAACTGACCTGACTGCTTTTGCAAACACTGAATGCTACGACTTCAAACTTAGGCGATTACTCAATAACACACCAGAATGCGAATTGCCAAACTTGCAATTAATTTATGCTTACATTGATAAGGGGTTACTTAGCATGGTTAAATCGTTATATGAAATTGCCGCTCCACACTCTCCCGAAGTCATGGATCAAGTGATAGCAGCCAACGAAGAAAGCTCTTTCATTGTGGTGTCACCGGTGGTTCTAAAGCCAAAGTCTCGGGGTTGGGTTAAACTGGCTAGTTCCAATCCATTCGTACAACCGGCTATTATTCCCAACTACTTGAGTGACGAAAGAGATGTCGAAGAAATGGTGCGTGCCATAAAATTTCTGGAGCAAGTAGTCGAGACGCCTGTATTTAACAAATGTAATGCATCCATTTTGAAGCTTCATATTTCTGGTTGTCCTGCCTTTGATGAAGAAGGTTACTGGGAATGTTATTCAAGACACATGACGCATTCAGTTCAACACGCGGTCGGAACAGCAGCTCTCGGGCAAGTGGTAGACGAAAGATTAAGAGTTAAGGGTGTTAAAAATCTTCGCATTGCCGACGCTTCGGTACTCCCTCACTTGCCACGTGGTAATACGGCTGCTGCTATAATCGCTATTGGAGAACGTTTATCAGACTTCCTTTTACAAGATCGAGGATTGGAATGACATTTGTAAAGTTTAGACAAAGTCTATGACAATATCCTTAATTTTAATGAAGGCTCTAAAGGAAGGGCGATTGACCGAATAAAGAAGATGTAAGCTGCAATACTGGAAGATTTATTTTGAAAACTTTTTGTATTAGATTATTATGTAAGAAACAACAGCACATACTGAAAGCAGACGAAGGGGTAATGGGGTTTCGATGAAAAAAAATCTTATGCATATAAAAAAGTGTACAAAATAATATTAAGAAAAGATTATCGATCGCTTTGTAATATTTTACTATGACTAGTTTATTTTTTTCATCTGTACACTTTCAATATATTATTGAAATTAAATTTTATAGTACAAATACAAGTAATTTCATTACATCCAAAATTTTCTATCTTCAACACACTAATTATTAGTTGTTCACAGCTAAGCATCCTTGTACCGTAGGCCGTCGTTCAGTGACCCTGGCTGCGTGTTTAGTATAGTATTTCACTACCCTTTTCTATTCTTGGATATACGGAAAAGTTATTACTCCTTGGGGTAAAATATTTTTATCAATGAATAAGTAGTTTCAAAGTAACTCATCTTTTGCTAGCCGACTTTCAAGGTTTTAATCTTACCCAGCGGAGTTGTTCAAATAGATCTATGTACATACAAAATGATATTCGTTGGTTGTTTTCTATATATAATTTCTTTATTTGCTATCCCTGATTTGCCTTTAAAAAGAATGTCACAAATTAATAACATAGAAATTGTTTTAAATACTTTTGAAGGCCGTGGTTGGGTTAAAAACAAATGTTTGCTTATCTTTAATGTAAAATTAACCGAATTAGAAATAACACAATCGGGTAATCATTAACTTTTAAAATTTATCCATAAAAATATATAGTTTTTACGGTCATTACGTCAGTTATAACAAAAATTAAAAGATGAAGAAAATATTTTTTAAAGTTCTTTCCGACTAAATAATGGAAATGCATACGTCCATAACTGAGTGTTACATTTACATTGTATACGAACAAACTCAAATCTTCTCTATGTGAGAAAGAGGCGTTTGAGGCTGATGATACATAAATACGTACACACATCCACATACACACACACACACATATATCCCATCGTCGTGATATATATAACACTCCTCTTGTAAGTCAGGAAAAAAACCACCCGGAGCGAAAACTAAAATGTTGAAAATAAATTGGTCAGTTGAAAGTTATAGATATTTCATTAAGTGAATAAGAAATTATTTAATTTAAAATGAAAAATATTCACCAGTGTTTTTATCGACCCTGTCTAAAGTCAGCGGGTACTGTCAACCCACGAATATCTTTTCTGTATTCTTATATCGTCTTGTTTATAGTATTTAGTTGTAATTTTTTATTAATATTTTATTATTTTTGTTTCATAAGCAGATTTTGTAATTTCTTTTAATATAACATGTTATTGCTATATATCTATGTCTGTCCGAATGTTAAACCGAGCTCCTAGTGGGCGTGACATGTTTATTAAATCCTTATTATACATATTATATTCATGATAAGTAATATGAACGATAAAAAATGTAAAAATTAAATAATATGTATGTCGTTTCATTAACAATATTTTTATTTCTGTCACGGGTGTGTTTATTTCAGAAATAATTTTCATGAACGTGTAATGAAATCAAGAAGACAGATTGTTGTTTACAGAACTTCCTTTTGAGTTAAAGATAACTGAGCTCTAGTTAATACAAACATTTATTACTGATTTTTATCATTATTATAAAGGTAAAAGAAAAAGGATTTCAAAAACTGATTACTAACAGGTCGGAAAAGAATTTAATGAATAATATAATTTAATTAAATCATTAAAACAATACTTTAAACATACATAGTTTTATATGATCGTATGACAAACTTTGTTTTGTTCATAGTTTTGCATTGAATTCATCTGTTTATTGATTGCATACTGACTTAAAACACTAAGTTCATAGCCAAATCTTTTATTTTATACGCAAATTATACAAGTATAGCAAGGTAAACTTTTAAATGCTTACAAATAAATATATTTATATATCACAATCTAAAAAAACATCACAATAGAACATAAGGAAAAAAATACTAATTAAGGAAAATAAGTTAGTTTTTTGCTATATTAAAATAAGAGATGACAATACATACGTACGTGGGTTGTATATAATAGTTGTAAGGCAATTATCTCATATATATTATATAATATTTTCTTTATTTTTTCTGTAGAGTCTATTGAAATTGCAAATGACTTTGGCTATAAAGCATTTCTCAGATAAGAAAAAATCTCATCAATCGGTCCTTAATTAAATATAAAAGTAATTGAGTGACGAGAAACAAATGATAGAGACTCAGAGACAGAGATGTTATTAATGAGAGACCTCTGTGTGGTCAGACAATCTGTTCTACATATAAAAACGTATTTGATTCAACTGGGATTCAATGAAGAAGGCATTAAATAATAAGAATTTATAAAATTTCATGAACTCATGGAGACGTTTGATGAAAGTTCTCTCGACTATGTAATTTTTTTGACACAAAAAAAAAATGTTGGAAATACATATATATGCACCGTGGCATAACATAATATTTGTAATTTCTTATTGTCAATGTTTTAGATTGAAAGATTTATCTTCAAACACAAGTGTTTTGTTTGGTGTTGTTGTTTATGATGTTATTAACATTCAAGAAATATTCAGCTTGTATTTCACATAGATAATGAACAGTGGAAAATACAGCAACAGGACTCGAATCTGCGACCTTCGGAATATCCCGGTATGACAGTTCAGTTGTAAAGCTAGAGGAACAATTGAATGTTTTTGTTGATGTACAGTTTAGATATAAATAAAACTATTATTAAAACTCTGTTCTTAATTATTACTTTATATGAAATACAATTTCATATTTATATTTTTGTTCTCATAATACCGTCTAAAAGCAGCCAACTAACTTTAGTATTGTGAACATTGAATGTATTATCACTGTAGATCAGTATTTTCATGATATCTAAATCATTAAGTATGAACTAAGAATGTTAAATGTAATATTACATATACTTTTTGTTTCTGGTCCATGTAAGAATGTTTCACGAGGATAATTTATTTCTTACAATCCCCTCTTCCTCAGTATAACATTCAGTTTCCATCATTATTCTAAGATGTAATGAAAGTATGTAATATCATGAAAAAATTATACTATGCAAGTAATCTTTGTAATTTGGTTTATTTTATAATAAAGTATAAAGGATCAAATAAAGGTGAAACTTTATATAATTGTTACCACGTATGTGTACTTTTGAAATTGGCTTTAATATTATTTCAGTTGATCTCAATGTTTAGACTATTTAATTAGTTAATATGACAGGCCATACTATTTTTATGATAAGAAAGATCAAAAGAATATCGTTTAATTTCTTATCTGTAAAATTGTACATTGTACTCATAATAATTTTTATTGTACTCCAGTGTTTGAAATCTCAATCCAATAACAAATAAGTGGAATGGGCTCGTTCAAATTAGTTCAAAAAATTACTATTTGATGGTAAATATATAAGTAGCATAAGTGTTATAATAAAACTATTAAAATATATTTATCAACAATATGATGTAGTTGTTGAGCATAATTTATTTTATTAAAAATATAACAACATAATTGTGTCAGTACGAGCGGTGACTCGCCCCTCGCTCGTCATCAAAGGAAGGAATTTATAAATGTTATATTTTCACAAACAAACCGTGGCCTGGCGTGGTCCATGAGTTTTTTCAGTGTCTGTTATAAAACCACATAAATTGAAACATCTGTTCCTCGGGATGATAATCCATGAATCTGTTACCATTTTTTTTTAAATAATAATCTTGAGTTTCTTATTATTTTTTTCATTAAAGTCTTAGAAAAATTTATGTTTACAAAAGTATAAATAAATTTCATAATATCATTTTTGTTCAATGATATTAATTAAGCTTTAGGATAATGTTTCAAAAGTTGCGTTGTATATTAAATTTATTTATATAGTACATTTTTAAATCAAAATTTCCTGGAAGGTTACGATTAACCTAATCATTAAGAATGAAAATGATGCTCGATTTTATTTGTTTCTTATGCAAAAATGATATAGAGACTCCATTAGTTCCGTCACCAGAAAACATTGCAGGGCAATAATATTCAGTTGTACATTGCTGTGAGCGCTGGTTTTCATTCATATTAATTATTTTAGAAACACAAAATATGCTCTATAAACGTACAAACACATACACAATATATACAATTATTGATATGAAAAAATGGTTATTAGGACTTAGCCACCATATTAACTTCTTACTGACAAAAACACACAAATATAATATAGATGCTGTACTTATATAATATGGATAAAATCTCCAATTTTACTAATTGAAACCATTTAGCGTTGGCTGCTCCGCTTTTCCTCTTTAATTATACCTTTATTTCGTGTCGGCTGTAATACAACATGCGATAGATGGACAAAAATAATTTAGTTATTGAAAGAAAGTTTCTTGATAGAATTTGATATAAAGGAATAATGATTTCGAAGAAGTAAAGAAGAAAGTGAGGGAGGATTTAATACTATAAATATTTTTCAAATCTTTAACAAATATACTTGTAAACATTAATCTTCTATATTAAACAAATAAAGGACGAAAACAACTTCAATAAAACCAATCATCGTGTAATAACTGGTTCAGCTCAGATCCTGCTGATGGTACATTATGTTTGAGGAATGTAACTCTGATACATATATACAATATGTTATTGATAAATGACCTATCAATTGATATCAAGCATTTATATTTCGGTAGTTAATTAGTTAATAAATAGTACTATTCTTATATGATCCTTGTGTATTTCAATAACTTTTCAATACAATAGTAGTGTACTGCAGTAGTGTGAGATATTTTAATGCTTAAATATATTTGCTCTAGAGTTAGTTATTATTTGCTCTAAAGTTAGGACTTATCGCCACACTTTAAAGGTGAAACTCGGTTATATCGT